ACTGGACCAAGAGGCTACAGCATGATGATGGATGGAAAGCAGATTGGGATGTCCACGATTCCCTTTGACTTAGAACCACAATCAGCAGCACCCATGGACGTGGCAGCCCCCAAATCAAACCACATATTGCACAAGACCTCGCCCCAAACCAAACTCACTGCCATCTTGTCAATTCTGGACGCATCGTCACCCTATCGGATAGGGTAGAACTGCCCCCATGAGTCTCTAAGACGGTAACTCTTTACAGGAGTAGAAAACGTCATCTTTCTCTCAAGGATGGCTGGTGGTTCCAAACTGCTGACCTTACAGTTAGCAGCCCCACTCGTAACCACTGTGCTACCAGGGCTCCTTTCCCAAGACCTCTGGAAAGTGCGAAACAAAGATGTCACCTGGGGGACCGAGGTGCGTGTGGCCCAAGCCTTAGTCTTGTCATTGGTTCCCCGGAGATGCAAGCTGGACAATGGTGAGTTGGGCTGTTTACCGCAAGGTCTGCAGTTCGAAACCTCCAGCTACTTCTCGGAGAAAGACGGACTTCTCTACTCTCTTATAGTTACAGGTTTAGAGACTCACAGGGGCAGGTCCACCTTGTCTTCTAGGGTCTGAATTGACTCAATAACAGTGAGTTGTTTTGGGTTTTTTTTAAATAAGAAGACTAGATGCATACGAATTGCAGTGCTGGCGGAAAAGATCGAATCTACCACGAACTGCTAGAAGGATGAATAAACCTGTCTTGGAAAAGTACATCTCAATGAGACTTCAGCTCACATACTTTGGACGTGTTATCAGGAGGGAACAACCTTTGGAGGAGTTTGCTGTATGTCAACGTCACCAGGCTTTGCTTCTGGGAATGAAGCAGCAAGTTCCTCCTAACCTGTTTGCAACTATAGAGATAGCCAGCCCTGTGCAAGGCCAAACAAGTGTGTTTAACTTCTAGAGCGTTGACTGGCTAAGCTGAGACCAGGGCCTGCTTCCCTGCATGTTCCTGAAGGTCAGCAGTTGTCGCCTGGAACGGGAGACCGAGAAACGGCGCCAAGGATGCCTGCCTCCCCGATAGCTGGACACGACACCCTACCTGCCAGAGCTGATAAACTGCATTCTGGGCCATAAACCTTCCCGTGCAGCACTTTAAAACCCCAGACCCCGGGCAAAGCCCTCAATCCCCCTGGGCTGCTTGCTAGACCATGGGGCTTCGCTGGGGAGCTCCCCCTAATCAAGCTATTTCTGTTTCTGCTCTCCCTTTGTCCTTTCAGTTATCGTTGTCCATCTCCCCGTGCCTCAGTTTACCTCTCACTCATCCTGTGCCTCAGTTTGTCTTTACAGCTGGAGCTGAAGCCCGGGAGAGGTAGGGGCAAGGGGCTCCATGCTGTCCTGTCCCTGCTTCGGCTGGGATATAGCCCACCCCTTCTCTCCTCTCGAACCTCTGGAGCCTGCCTGGACGAGTGATTTCTGGTCAGTATCTCTCTGTGTATGTTCCTTCTGTCTCCTTTGTCTTGTTTGTCTTTCCGGACACTGAGGACCAGCAAACTCACTAAGAGGAGCTGGAAATAACTGCCTTTCCCCAAAAGGAGTGTAACAATAAGGACAGTTTCTCATGTCCATCTTGTCCCAGGTGGCCCCCAGCCCTTTGTCTCTGTGTTTACTTTATGGGATTTCTGCCACTAACAGGACTCCTGGCACTGGGCCTGGCAGTCACGACACCTTCGGACTGGACTAAGGTGCAAAAGTTATTTCTGAACCTTTTCTACTTATTTGTGTGTGGGTCTGCAGCTCTGCAGTGCCTTCTCTAAAATCTTCTACTCCCCCATTTCTCTCACCCTCAACAAAAGCCTCGGACCAACCTCCACTTTACCAGCCATAAAAGCCAGGCCCTTCCCCCTCCTTGGCTCCCATTGTGTCTCTCACTGACCCAAGGTCCCTGTCTGCTGGACAAAGCCACAGGCCTGCACCAGGGAACCTTCCTGTTCCGGAGAGACCAGACTCTCCCCTGGGTCCCTAACTCGGATCAGGACTCCCTCAGTTACTGGACCGCTTTCTGACTGACAGGTACAACTGGGACCTGGGGACGCCCTTCTCCTCTGTCCATACCCCCTGCAGTTTGAGACACCACGGGAAGTCCTCTGTCCGAGCCCCCTAAGGACAGTCCTTTGGGGTGCCTACTGCCAACCTTACTGAATTGGGTTTAGCTCCTGATCGCCGCCCTAAACGCCTGGTCTTTTCCTGTAACCAAGTTTGGCCTCAATACCAATTAGATAATGCGTCACGCTAGTCAAAACACGGCACTTTTGATTTTAACATCTTCTGCGACCTTGATCATTTTTGTCGGTGAGCCCACAAGTGGTCCGAAGTCCCATATGTTCAGGTCTTTTTCTTTCTTCGCTCCCCTCCCTCTCTCCTACCTGTCACCCTGCTCAAGACCTCTCAGCCAAACACTCTCTTAATCAGG